TGTTTAAGTGTCCTACCCGTTGTGTAAATTATCCATTACATCCTATTTTACTTGTCCAGAGGGTTCGAAAATATTTTTAAATCGAAGTTTCATTTGAAAAGGTTTACGTTAGACGTTTCAAACCATTATGTTGAATTTTTCAAAATTTTTAAATAAGGTGTGTTAAGATGAAATTTGTATCATCAATTAATTGAAATATTCTAAAATAGTACAATTTGTTGATCAGAATAAAGATTGGGACATATTATTCAGTAACAACAAGAGTGGTATTGAGCCTTTAAACATTCACAGGGTTATTCTAAAGTCTCTTCCAATCAAATTGCTTATCTCCGCTTAGCCTAAACAATACTTCCCATTATCGAATCCAGTCGAAATATTCACATATTATTGAACATTCACGCCATATTTCAGCATTTGATCTCAGTTATACACAGTTATTGTCATCTAAAAGTATCGACGAATCAACGAGCTTATCCCTGCTTAGCCTAAGCAGAAAGTATTCATCATCAGTCAAGACATTCACCTAGTAAACGACGAGACAGCTGTCCTTGTCGGGCCTTCCGTCACTGCACCATTGACAAGGGTAAACCAAACGGAAAATCGCGATGAACTTTCTCGGCCAACACCGGGAGCGAACCCGTAACCTTCGGGCCAACAGCCAGCGTCTTACCAACTGTCACTGATCCACCGAGGCTCCCTGTCCCTACAAGTTTGAATTATTGTAACTCTTTAAGAACAGCATTCATTGAAAATGGTAGATTATAACACAAGTGGGCCTATTACAAGTCATTTTTAACCCATGTGAATTGAAAAGATGATGTTTAAAACAGCATTAATTAACTTCGAACAAGCTCATTTACTTCTCAACTGAATAGAAAATGGGGCCTATTTCGTTGTTTCCCGTATTGTCGAACATAAAAAAATTAAACTTGAACACTTACGACGTACAACTTGTTAAACATACATTATGCAAGAGCTAAATCTGCCTATTGCAGGTCTTTTTTTAGGCCTGAAATGTTATAAAAACTATTAATTAGACATTTATTAACAAAACAAGACCATAATCGACTCTAGATGGCATCGGATACTCGAGATTTTAACTAGATTAGAACGGTTCGCCATTTAAGAATTTAATTTAAAAATGGGAAAGCGAGGCTAAGACCCGATTATACCAGTGCTTTGGTTACCACTGTGCACACATCTTGTCAAAACTACAAACAATGATAACTTGGCTGAGATTGAAGTAATTTGAATGAAATTTTCAATATATTTTTTTTTTTATCATCTTTTTTAGAATTATTATAGCAAGAATGACCAACTCTTTATTAACCTCTTAACTAATGTATCTTTAAGTTTAATTCTGCTGCAAAATGGAAGATCACCTGAGTGGACTGCGCGCGTGCAGTGTGAACTGTTCATATGCAAACGGAAATAACTCTGGGACATTCCGACGTTTGCTCACATAAAATACAATATGAAATGGAGTAAAACATGTTATCCCTAAACTTCACTGAAATTTCCTGTTTAATACTGAATACTCCATGGAATACATAAAACACGTAGGCCTAATTCACACTTTTAATATTTTTCCTCCAAAAAGAGGAGTTGAATAAGAAATGGATAATTTTTACAGTTTGAGCTATGTGGATGCTACAAAATAAACCTTCATAGATTAAGAAACGGTGCTCATTTCCTAGATTTCTGGGGGCTAATTGAGGCAGAAATGTATTGTTTAAAGTAGCTAAGTCTCTAACTCAATATCATCCAAAACCTTTGACAATGAAAACACGAATTATTTGTCAATTTTAATCAACATTGACATCACTGGGAGCGGAAAACTTCCCACTTGGGTCCAATTTAGGCAACGGGAACAAAGACATCTTCACTAGGAACCAACTTTAGTTACTATAATATGAAGTACAATTATCCTACTAGTTTGGGTAATTTATCCACTGCAAACCAGGGGCCTGTTTCACGAAACTTTAACTAAGATAAAATCCAAATTTTAGTAATTTGATTGGATACTATTAGATTGATTTTAGTGCTTAGCCAATCAAAATTGAAGTATCTACTAAAATTTGGATTTTATCTTTAGTTAATATTTCGAGAAACAGGGCCCAGATCCGTGGTAAGAATGTTTTGGTGATATACAGATATTGACCCCTTCCCAACATGTCCACCAAGCCGAGAACTACCCAGCAGCTTATTGCACATGTAAGATGACAGCCCTTAAAAGGAGGGATTGAAATTTGTCATGGTTTGATTCTGAACGGTGGATGACACTTACTAGCTATCATATTCATAATGTACATCCATGTTTTACGAACTTGCTCTCTTCTCGTATATTGGTCTTCTAAAAAGACTAAGATTTCAATTTGGCTGCAAATTGGTGAAGATCGGCTACAAAACGCCATAACATTGTAACTTTTGAGCTAATCTAGCCTAGTTGGGGGTCATGGCATTTAGGGCGTGGAATACCACACCCACCACCAGAAACCCGGCAGACTTACATTCTGATGATACCAGATATATAACATTGATACCATATAGGAGAAAATTGGTACACTTTTCAGCTAGGTTGACGGCCAGGGCTCCTGGTCTAATGGTAAACAAAAAAGTCAAATCTACTTTTAAAAGCTAGCTGGAGTGAACGTTTACCACTTCTGGCTTTCGGTCATGGGTTGATCGGTCCTGGTGTGCACAGTTCAAGTGACATAAAATCACAATATAATGTTATGTTTAAGGGGAGATAACTACAATATAGACCACACCCATGTCTGTTTCACGAAATCGTGACTGTGGAGCAACATTTCAAAACTCTTTCGTCGATTCTTGATCAAAAAGTCAACAAAAATCGACATTTAAATAGGAGAACAAATAGAAAGAATCTGAGAATAAATGTGGTCTAATGGTATCCACTTTGCTTTCAAAGACCCCAAAATGTCACAATTATCTAATAACATTTTTGAAGAGGGTTTTAATCCCGATTATTTTCTACGTGCGGTAAAGCTGTGACTTTGTTTTCGTGGGTGTTTGTTTACCTTCCCATTCAAAATCATGGGGGGAGTCACGGTGGCTCAGTGAGCAAGAGCAACCTGGGTTTCCCATTCTGATCTCTGCGTTAGACGAGAAAGTTCATCGGGATTTTCCGGCGTGGTTCCTTGTCAGTAGTGCAGGATAGGGGGCCTGACAAGGGACAGTGTATAGTCGTTCGGATGGGACAGAAAAACTGAGGTCCCGTGTACGCATTGGTGTGCACGTAAAAGACCCCTTGGCAGCTTGAATTCGATATAAGAGTAGGCCGTTGTGCTGCTGTCTGGGCAAATTTCCCTTAAAGCACACTGTATATGGCGTATGACCGTCTTTATTAGCCCAGCCGGAGCAGAACAGTAGGATGTTAAACCTCATTTCAATTCACTGCATTTCAATTTCAAAATCCTGGATATATTTACCAAACCCTGACAGAATTTATAAATTCAATATGCAGAACTGGTAAGATGGGAAAAAAGGAATTGTTATAAATAAACCACTCTGAGTCACTCATAGTATATTTAGGCCATAAAATGTTACATTTTCTGGGTCCCGAGTCTATTTCCAAATAAAACAGCCACTACTCCATTACCATATGCTAAATCAATTTCTATTTTAATAATACAGTGTAAATTGATCTATCTAGGAAAGTCTATTAGTAAGTGCAGGATGACTGCACCACACATAATTTACACAAAAACAAATCTATGGACAAGACACAATACGCAGAAATCACAAACAAACGAACATATCAAATTAAGTGAATGGATCCGGGGGTTAGCCGTAAGCTTCCACTTAGATAACAAACCTCATCTCTCAACCCTCCGTGTTTCGAGATAAGAGATCGTGCTATATATAGTTCCACGTAGGAAAGTCCAACGCTAATCACATCGGGCCTCAGTAAGCAAAATTGACAATATTTTTACAACGATTGATTATCGTTATTTATAATATTTCTGCCACATCCAACTACAATTAAGCCTATAATTCTACCTGAAACGGGTATAAATCATCGTATTTAAAAATCGAAGCGTTAAGCCGTTACTAGGAACGCCATTTAAAACGGGAGATGTATGACGGTGTATGTCGGATAAAATAAAAACAACGCTTCATTAAAGATACATTATGGGAGATAAGATAAAGAGATGGCAGTTCTCGCTATAATAGTTAAAAACTAGATAGTGTAAAGGTAATTTGCTGAAAAGTTCAGTCAAATTGATCCACTATGAGCCGAGAAAGAAGCCGGTGAAATTTTTGCATTACTAAAATCATTAATATAAACAGCATAGTCTCGATTATCCATTTTTTCTGATTTAATTATCTTTGGCCGTTAGCGGCATATAGGAATCTAATCCAGCCTACATCGAAGGCTAGCCTTGACATCGAGAGTTTATTATGGTCTGGATAAGTTAATTAATTTCTAATTGATAATTTAGATAACATTTCAGGCCTCAAGAAAGACTTGTAATAAGCAGATTTTGCATAATGCATGTTTAATTTAAACGAGAATATTTGGAGTTAGACGATAGTTGTGATACTACATTGGCCTCTGTAAGTTTAATTAGTCATAAAGGCATAGTTTTTCATCACAAAAATTTCAATGATCATCCTAATAAACACTTTGGGTGAGTGTATTTCCAGATTCTTCTCCTTCCGTGGTAGAGAGCGTTCACACTAATGAAAACTTTGGGAAAAGTTACAGCCGGGCAAAGTGACAAATTGAGATTAAACGCAGTGGAAAAAATTTGGTGGTTTGCTTGTCTCCCTTGAAAGAAAGTGATATGGATGGTCCACGTCCTTTAATGTGATTGGTTGTAAACGGGGAATACCCTAAAGTGTTTTCTCTTTTTTTTGGTGTATCACTACTCTACATTTTTTATGTCTATATATTTTATATTCAGAAATTGCAGATAATTACAAAACTGCCGCCTAGAAGGCTGAGATTCAAAACATATAAAAATGATATCAGATGAAAGTTAGAAAGTTATTTACAAGAGAAGCACTATAATTTGGCGGATGTTGTGACATCCGGTTGTTGCAGGGCACTGTTTACAAGTTGAAAGAAAATGGATTGAATGTGATATGTACAGTTGTCTGTTTTTAGTTATATTGTGTTGGGTGCCAACCGTTGGAAGGTTATATCTATTTAAGGGTACTTGGGACCCTTATGACAGTAAATATGGCCAGTTTTCTGAACGTGAAAGGCTACAGATGCTTGAAATGTCGAGAGAAATGTTTCAGTTTGGCTATGACAATTACATGAAATATGCCTTTCCTGAAGACGAACTTAACCCCATTGATTGCAATGGACGAGGCCCAGATTATGACAACCCGTAGGTTAACATTATTACATGTACATATAATCAGATTAAAATGTTCATCATAGATAGACCTTCATAATTTACTGGCATTTTTAATATAATAATGTAATCCACACGAAACAAATGTCTCCATATTAACAGTTACATTGTCATAAATGGTATGGTAATAATTATGATTCCATGTCATTTCGGTCCCTCGTCTTTTCATGTCAGACTTATGACATTTGGGACTAAAAGAAATATGGCCTTGATGTTAGAGACTTGGGTAGGTGACGTTTCGGACTCTGGAATAAGTTGAACACAACTGTCAAATCAATTTATAATAAGCTAATTTTATAAAATAACATGCAGGTAAAATTTACCGCTCACAATCAAGTACAGCATGTGGAATCGTGGATCACACACCATATAGACCTCTTAAGGAATGGCAAAATTTCCAATGTTGAATGTTTCTGAAAAGAATGTTTTATTTCTTTATATCTGATGTATAAAAAAATAGCTGATGAATTTATTAGAAATAAGCCAATTCAAAACACGAAAGAAAATATTACCATGAAACACATGGTTATCAAAAGGCTCCACCAAACGATAAAACATTAATTACACTTACGGTTCTTTATCATCGTTTCCCGTAAAAGTAATATATTTTTTTAATAAAGAATAATATTTTTTAATATGCTGTTGAATTTATTTCAAAATGGCATGCATAAAAACAAAAGTACATGTAAATATCTACACAACATGCACTGTTTTTCCAAGTCCTTTGCAATTTTTAACGATAATCTGTAAGCTGCACGTTGACACACATTCCTCGAAAGCTTGCCATAGACACATGTAGCAGTACCAATCGATAAATTAGTGCATACAAAGAAACCTCTTTTTGGAAAATATTAGGAATGGCAACAATTAAAATGGGATAATTAGAGCTGATTAACCGATAATCGTGATGTTATTGTAGTATATGCAAAGAAACCTTATGGTTCTTTGGTGGATGATGAAAAAACCTGAGTTTTCAATCATCGATAAAAGCAGTCGTGCGTTGATTCGATTATTCCGACTCACATAAAAGACATTTAGGCTTTCACAATTATAAAATCATTAGTAGTGATCAGTCAATCAAACTTGTTTACTGTTTTTAAGAGAAAAACAACGAATTATTACTACTAAATATACACAAATTTTCAACAATATTTTATTGTCAAGTTCAATACTCGCTGATAGAACAAAGCAGAACAAGCAGTGTTACACAAATGATTCCGAAATGTTGCCAGACTGAGTCCGAAAGGTTGTCTGTGTTGAGTCCGAAATGACGTTGGACCGAAATGTAGTGCTTCCATGATTATAGCCCATTTTCATATTACAAATTAAATATTTCTTTTATTGTACATGAACTTATGCTGAAATATGAAATAATCTCTGACATATTTGTAGCAGAGTTTCTGTTATTCAAGTTATTTATACATGTAGAAGTCAAAAATCAAAAAACTAAAATCACCGAGTTGTGTGCCCATATCTATCACTCCAGAAAAACCAACAGGACTTTTTTTGGTCAATATAAGGTTAGAGTCTGTAGACTCATATTGTAAAGGCCCATTAACATTGAAAAGTACATGTATGTATCATCTGTCCCCCTATTTTTCGCTTTATTAAATCGAAAATGTTACATGTAAAACTCAAAAATATTGTGAGATTTTGTCAACAGATGTTTTACTGAGAGATTCATTGAATGTATGATTTACATTATAACAATGGGATGAATTTTAGTATTTTAATTTTTCAGAGAAAATATCAACATTAATGATGTACTTGGCGATTATGTTTTAACTTTGGTAGATTCATTAGATACTTTAGCAGTAAGTATACTATTGCTTGTGTACTGTATATTATTATATATTATATGTTATATGTACTTTTGAGAGTGGATGAAAAAGGAATAAATTATTCCCTTCTAACAATGTCCAGTAGTTTATATGGGATGGAAATCTAGGTTCTTTGTATTTATACCATTTGCAGTACGTACACACATGGTGACCATTGGAAATTCAACTGTAAGCAGGGCAGGCAATTGTACATATGTCTGGATAAACGTTTCCTCATTCAAGCTGCATTACATGTGCCTGTCTTCATTAATCTAGTTGGTGCAGATGAATAGGATGTTAAACCCGATTGCATTATTCTAACAAAGAAATTGAAACAAAAGACATCTTTGAACAGTTTACCTAAAGCAAGATAAGACAGAGAATGTTATAAATAACTTTATACCTCCTTTAGGTTGATCAAGTATATGTTTTGTCTTGTACTTATTAACTAATTTTTTTTCTTCAGATTATGGGAAATAGTTCTGAATTCAAAAAGGCGGTGGGATTAGTGATAGAATATGTAGATTTCGATAAATCAAACACAGTTCAAGTTTTTGAAGCCACAATCAGGTGCTTAATTTTTTACAGAAAGGGCAATGTTTTTGTAGCCTCCAATTTAGGGTTGGTCTGAAAATTTTAACCTACAAATATTTATGAAAAAGCCTAATATCATTAGACATTTGTAAGTTGCTTGTAATTGACCATAAGTCTACGTAGCATGTGCTGATATGCACAATATCAGTAAACTGTCATGCTTTTATTTGAGTTCAAAAAACAAAAATGGATGGTAGATGTACATATTTGTAAGATATTGAAGTGTTAGCTGTTAGACTATTTTAATATTTCTGGACAAGTCAAAATCCTTTAAAAATAGGGAGCAAGATAAATTTTAGCATTGACCTTATGTGACTATCTATTTTCTGTTGGTTTATGGATCATCAAAGAGTTATCTCTTTCTACACTGCTGCAGTGTGATCATTCAAGCAGAGCCCCTTTTTATACGTCCACATTCATAATGTAGACGTATATTGATGTCACCCCTGTCTGGGTGTGTGTACGCGTGTGTTTATGTCTGTGGGGCGCCTACAGGCTGCAATTCTTAACTGTTTGTCTTGAAACTGCAGTTGTATTCCTTATAGCCTAAAGATGGTGCATGATCCGCCTCACTTGGGTGGTGCATCACCCACTTTTTAAAAAAAGAAATTTGTCTACAGATTGCAATTATTAACAGTTTTGGATCCATCACAAGGTTGTACCTATATATATTGTTTCATATCCAACCCCCAGGGGCCTAGCCATGCCCAATTTTTGTGTTTATCGTCTACTGACTGCAATTTTGAATTGATCATCTCGGAACTTTGCATATTTATTTCTTATACCCTAAAGACAACAATTACCGGTATTTATTTTGGTGCATGCCCCTACCCCCAGGAATGTGGATGTATATTGCAGCGGTACCGATGCCCTTGTTATGAATTGGCCATGCTTTAATTTGAGTAATTAGAGTTCATATGACATTCTGATTCTTCTTATGAAATTCTCATGGTACGTGTGTGTCTTGAATCAATTAGAAAATACATCTGCCCACTTTTTTTTGATATGGGTATGGTACATGTATCCGCATCTTATTCATAGAGTATTTTTGGAGACAAGATGCTTTATGTTTCCACTGGATATATTATTCAACGGGTTATAACGATCAAAACAGTAAAATGTTTTGGTTTTTTTATATTTTCTAGAATTTTAGGATCATTGTTATCAGCACATCTTATAATAGAAGACAAGACAGAACCATTTGGTGAAATGCGACCTAAACATTATAATAACGAACTTCTCCATTTAGCACATGATTTGGCTGCAAGGTTATTGCCTGCATTTGATGGTACAGCTACTGGAATACCATATCCTAGGGTAATAATTGTAATATTTTATCGGGGTTCAGGATATTTATTTCTATTACTATAATAAAACCGAAATGGGGTCATACTGATTGTAAAATTAAAAAGACATGTATTTACAAATATACATGGAACTCTTTCATAAAAGATACAAACTGCACATGTCATCGTACTAATTTTAGAATGTATACACATGGATCTGTTTACCTTTATAACGGGATCATCAGGCCTAATACATAGAAATGTCTGTAGTTAATCCAAATCAAAGAATTCACGATGTATTTTTGAAATATAATTGAAAAATTAATTTGCGGGAAAACAAATGGTATGCCTACAATATCTTCAAAAGTGTTTATAACACCAGAAACTTTTCTGACAAACGCCATTTTCATCATGTAGTTAATCATGTGACCGATGACCTCCAGATTAAAGCGATGTAGTGCGCGAGTCGACTGCAGAGTCAAATGCTGGATAGTGAGACTTGTGCAGAGAATGGCATGGATGGTGATTGTGCTAGAAATTATGACAACGAACAAATATTTCTTTGTAATTGTGATTCATTGTTCATTGGATTTTATTTGACATAGTTAATGTAAAGTTTGTAAATTATTTTATAGGTAAATTTACAAGATGGTGTACCAACAAATTGTATCAACGAAACTTGCACTGCTGGTGCAGGAACATTGAGTCTTGAGTTTGGTGTTTTGTCCAGATTGCTTGATGATCCAGTCTATGAATCAAAGGCTCGTAGAGTTGTAAAAGCTTTGTGGAAATACAGGTCTAATGTTACAGGCCTTTTTGGTAAATTCAGAATATAAGAATTGTGTAAACATTACAAAATAGAGATATACTAACAATCATTAGATTTCTTATTAGAATGTACTTTAATTTTTTAGATGAGATCAGATTTTCTCATTAATTACGCCCTAGTCAACATTCTTAGACCATCATGGGGCATTCAAAAATAGTTTTGCATTCTATTAAACTTATTGATTTGAACAAATGTTATTAATAGGTAATGTAATAGACATACAGAGTGGTGAATGGACTGGTATAATGAGTGGACTTGGAGCTGGCTTAGATTCATTCTATGAATATTTATTAAAGGTAGTAATTGTTTTGTTTATAGTATAATGAAGAGATTTCCTTATTATATATTTTTATAAGTTATTTTTCCTGATCATATTATTTACTGATTGAGTTATGAAGTAGTTTAGTTGACTAATGATAGTCCAGCTTAGATTGTCTGATCAGCAGGAAGTAGGTAGTTATGTTGGCTAAATGGGCATTATGTATATAATTTTTATATGCTTTACTTATTATTTTATTCCTAAATCATGATGTGTAATATCTACTGTGGATATTTTAGAATTAACTGCTGGAGACCTGCAGAAACTGTATTGATTTTTATATACACCCACATTTCATTGTGGGGGTATTATGATGTGGGGTGTATTATGGTTTTGATGGATTCTTTCAAATTTGGCGTGAAACATCATGGTCATAAGATGACGAACCCTATTGATATTCGATACTCAACAATCTGCGACCTTTCATATCAGAGTTATGCACCCTTTTCTGAAAAACTTGTGAATGCAATATCGGCTATTGTTTTTAATTGACCTGTGACTTTCAGTCCCAGATTTATCCCCATAGTATCAAATTTGCTCAACATCCAAGTTTTTCTTTCAAATAAGTTACAGTTGAGACAAAGCTGCTGTATTGACGTAATTTCAATTTTTAATTTAATTTAATGCTGAAATGATGTAATGTAAAGTACATAGGAAGTTTTTAATCAATTTTTTTTTCTTAATGATTAATAGAATGGTTAGCACGTGCGCGCTGTATTATAATGTCTGTAATTGAGTCAACTGGCGTGGTTTCTATACCCCGGTTGTACGTGACAAGGAGTAGGGTCACCTGTCCAACCTCATGGGTTTTTCTCCGGGTCCTCCAATTTCCTCCCACTGTTAAAGACCCCTACGCGCAAGGGAGTTATTGAAATAAAATTGAACCGTGTGTTAGTCCGAAATGAAATAGTTTTTGTCGAATGGACATTAAACCCCATTTCTCTCTCTCTCACTCTCTTTTTTTAGATTATGAAATTATTTTATTATTTTGTCTGCCTTCAATTTCAAAGGTGGCTAGTTAAAGATATAGAGTATGGTCACCCCTTAGTCTCCTTGTTTTATCTGTGTCATGTATATGTACTTCCATTTAATTTAAGCCTCAGGCATATTTTTTTTATATGCCCACATTTCAATGTGTGCTTTTTATGTCATCACCCTGTCCATTTTTCCATCTGTTGGTCCATCTACAATAGGCACGTGAACATGATAGATGCTATAGTTTTTGGGCAATTTTATTTATGCCCCCCTTTTTCCCAAACCTTATGAATGATACAGATAGAGGCTGTAGTTTTTTAACACATTTTATTCAAATTTGATTGAAGCTTTGGGGTCATGAGTGGATGAACCCTATCGATATTCAGTGTTACAAGACTTTTGTTCTGGATTCTCTGCCCTTGGCCTAAAACGTTATATTAGCTAAAATTTTAACATGGGGTGTGTTAAACCCTGTGTGTCTCTGTCCTATAATGCCAATCGTTCTATTAGAGAAAATGCACTAGTTACTTGGGGAAAATATTAACCTTGTTACTTAAAAGTTATATCCACCATTAAATCCTATATCTTGTCCAATATCTATTTTTAGTCATATATACTGTTTGGAGAGGAAGAAGATTTAAAAATGTTCAACGAAACTTATGAAACTATAAAATATCATATGAGGAGGGGGTAAGTGATTTTAAATATACCATAAATATATGGCAATAAAACAAATATCAATTTTTTTGATCATTAAAAAATTAAGTCACCATACATTTAAAGACTAAATAACAGATTCTGGCATACAGCATGTAATGTGCTTTAAGAAGAATTTTACCCTGACAGCAGTGCTACTTATATTTCAATTTCCAACTGCCAAGGGATCATTACCATGCTGGCAATGGTATACACAGGATCTTGTTTTTTGACCCATTTGAATGATCAGATGCTTTTCCTTGCCAGACCTCCTTTCCTGCATCAGTGACTAGAAACACCAGGATCAATCCCAGGTCCTCCTGGGTAGTGAGCTATTTATGTGTTCATTCCATATTTGATTAGTTTATGTGCAATATTTTGAAATCTGTCAATCAAGAAGTCAATGACATGTATTAGATCTGTGAGTAGATCATACCAAACGTGACATGTATTACCCAAAGTAGATCATGCTTGGATTTTCACAAATTGAATCAAAATTATACACAATAATGCCTTATTTGAACTGGCTGCTTTTGAATAATCTATAGCCATTGCTGTAGCTGAAACTTGGGTTTTTGACGGAGTGGGTCTGTTTTCATCATCTATTCAAATTTTTCCTGGATGCCTTTGTTGGAAGAGGTAGTTGGATTCTATTCATTAATTGTATTAAAAAAGATTGTGTAAACATTGATCAACTGCATGGTGGTCCAAGAGATTCTACATGACAATATTCACATTTTCAGCATTTTGGAAAGCCTTGCTTATCACACAATAAGTCTTTCCGCGATATTCTGCTATTATCTAGCTAATTGCTCATAATGATTTTTGCGCGTTGTGACATATCAATGATTGTCATTATACACTGTTACATTAACATATTGATTGATTTGTTAACCCTGGTTGTTAACAAGACATAATTTGGGATTAGTCAGTACAACATGTATCCTGGTATGGTGCTATCTTGAAATTGTCATAGTAAAGTAGGCATTATACATTAGAGTTTGTTTGTAAAGGTGGATTTATTCATTTTCAGGCGATTTAAGTGTAATGATGGATCTGGAAATCCACCTATTTATGTGAATGTAAATATGAAAACTGGGGAGACAATTAATACCTGGATAGATTCATTACAGGCAGCATGGTCAGGTGTTCAGGTAGACCAATAACTTTGTGATAATTTAAATGGACTAATATATGTGTTTATCCATCTTCAAAATGTTTTCAATGACTAGCATAAATTAAGAAATTTGATTTTTGATGCTAACAGGGTTTACAGTAAAACATGAAATAATTGCTTGTAAAGCCCGATGTAGGCCTTCTAACATTTGTTGGCCGAACAATGTTTTCCATCAAAAGTTAGCTGATGTTCTTAAGATTTCAACACAAACTTTTGTAGGCCGAACAATGTTCGCGAGATCAAACTTGTTTGATTTCATGGGGGGTTGGATAGCCGAATGGTTAGCATGTGCACGTTCGTTGTATCATAAGGTCTGTCATTGAGTCAACTGGCGTGGTTTCGATTCCCTGGTTATACATGACAAGGAGTAGGGTCACCTGTCCAACCTCGTGGGTTTTCTCCAGGTCCTCCAGGTTTCCTCCCACAGCTAAAGACACCTCCGCGCAAGTGAATTTTTAAAAAAAAATATGAACCATACGTTAGTCCTGAAATGACCTAGTTTCTGTCGAGTGGACGTTAAAGTTCAACGGTTAAACCCAAATGTTCGTGTTGATCTCATTTGCATTGAATTTCAACAAAGAGCAAGACATTTTATACAGACATTCAATTAGAATTTCTCTAACGTGGTGTGCGCGTTGTATCATAAGGTCTGTAATTGAGTCAACTGGCATGGTTTCTACATCCCGGTTGTACGTGACAACTAGTAGAGTCACCTGTCCAACCTCGTGGGTTTTACGGGTGCTCCGATTTCCTCCCACTGCTAAAGACCCCCTATGCGCAGGCAAATTATTGAAATAAAATTGAACCATATGTTAGTCCCGAAATGACCTAGTTTGTGTCGAGTGGATTTTAAACCCTATTTCTCTCTCTCTCTCATTTCTCTAACGATCACGTGGTACAAAAATGGCTGATGTCGCCATGTTGTTACCACGTGATAATTGGGTCAATCATGTGACATCAATGTCAGTCTCTTTTTGAACAAATGTTGGTCGTTTGCATTAAACATTCTTCGTTTTCAGGAAATTTTTTAAAAAGTATAAAACATTTGTTTTGTTAGATGCCAACAAATGTTAGTCGGCCTGCGCTGGGCTTCATTGATCCATGTTGACATAATGTACCTGTCATTAGAAGCAAGTCCTATCCAGGCCCAATGAACCAGTGTTTACATTTCATTCTGTTGTTTGTGTTCCTCATCCAGGTCACAATCCAACTTGGGTATTTCTCTCCCCAACCCGCCCCACTTCCACTTTCCCTTTGGCACTGCCACACATTCTGCTCTAATTTTCTTCCACAATCATTTATTGTTGAGGATACCTCTTGGGGCTTATTTTATTGGATTACACATTCTTTAGCTAGTAGTATTTATAATTTCTAGGGTTTTTTTTTCAGGTATTAAATGGTGATATAGACGAAGCTATTTGTTGTCATGCTTTATATTATTCTATATGGAGAAAATATGGTGCTATACCTGAACGCTATAACTGGCAGTCAAAAGCGCCAGACATTCGATTTTATCCTTTACGACCTGAATTTGTAGAATCCACGTACTTCCTTTATCAAGCAACAAAAAACCCATTTTATTTTCATGTTGGCAGGGATATCATCAATAGCCTTAATGAACATACACGAACAGAGTAAGTAGATACAAATTGAGATATTAATTACCATAATTAGATGGGGAGTTTGATGGTTAATGTTACAACTTTAGCTGCTGGAGAAATTGGTCTTTCTCTGTTTTAAAGTTTGATCAGAAATTGAGAAAATCACTACACTAATTTTTACAAGTTCTGTGACTGTTGTTATTGGTAGGAATAATGAATATTATTTACAGTTAAAATAGGGTTGTGTTGACAGTCTTGTATAATAAAGGAATAATATTGTATTTTGATAACTTTACTATAGATGTGGTTATGCAACAGTTCACGATGTATTTACTAGAGAATTAGAAGATAGAATGGAAAGTTTCTTTTTGTCAGAAACCTGTAAATATTTATATTTGGTAAGAACTTTTATTTGGACTTTAAATCTGTATTGTTCTTTCTCTAGCACCTCATTTAGTCTTGTTGCATGTTTCCCAAGTTAGTGTTGAATGTAGTCCCAGTCCTTGTTGCAAACCAATCAGTTCAGTTCATATAGTGTTGTATATTCATGCAATCTATTAGGATAACCCAAGAAATTATATTTTTCTACCATAGTATCTTGGAAATCGTGCAAATTAATGTATATCTGTATTATCAAAAAACTATATTTATATTTCACTAAAAGTGAAATAATAGTAAGGAATGTGATGTAATGATATTCTGGTATAGACTGGGAATGTAATGTAATGATATTCTGGTATAGACTCGAAATCATTAAAGGAAAAGACATTTATAAGTTGTTAGAACTTATAATTCTTTTATATTGTGCAATGGAATGTCAATGCAATAAGATACCTTTAAAGATGCATTATGTAAGAGCTAAATCTGCCAATTACAGGTCTTTCTTTTTGTTTCAAATGTTATGTAAATTATTATTTATTTTAACAAGCCTATAATAATCAACTCTCTAGACAATCGAATGGCCGAGATTTAATTGGATTTAAACATCACCAAGATTTAAAAATTTAATGATAAAATAGACAATCAATGCTATAGCTCTGACTCATAACTTCACACAGAATAAAGTAATTTGAATGAAATTTTCAAAATATTCATTTTTCATTATCTATTTTTGAACTATTTATAGCAAGAATGACCAGCTGTTTATCTAAATCTAACATACATTTAATGTACTTTTAAACTAAAACTAAATGAATGGGTGTTTACAGACATTACAGCTGAAAATTGTGCATGCTAAACTTATGTCTAATATTATAATTTCAGTTATTTGATAAAGATAATCATGTAAATAAAGAATCTAGTAGATATGTATTTTCAACAGAAGGACATATATTACCAGTAGATGGTAGATTTAGAAAGAGAAATTCCTGGAATGAAAACAGCATAGAATCAATACCAGTTGTAGATGTTAGAACCAACAGAAGTAATGTGAGTCAATATATAAAAGTACTTATATAAGAGATAAGAGTGGCAGTTAAGACCTGGTTATCCTGGATATCAGTGACTAGTTTCAGTCATATTTAACTCTTTAGGCTGACGTGGCTAACTTTTATTTATACTATTCCTAAACCCTGGCAGGGTTACCATGGTGACAAAGAGTCGATCTTATTGAAAGAGCTGCTTACTCATCAAAGACATAACCGAGGGTTGACAGGCCTATCTCACCTCAGTCCCCCCAAAAAGAGACACTCCAAATCTTGACTGTCATATAATGAAACTATTTCGTACTAACTCATGTTCTGATGTATATTCATGTACTGTAACAATTTTTTATTTTCAGTGTGATAGCATACCAACACAAAGTCGTTATTTTCTGCCAATGAAAAGCGAGTATTTAGAACAGATGGATCTTGCTGTTGGTCTTGAGGCTTTTGACAGTAAAATTAATTCTTGATAGCCAATGATGCCTCTTTGTTAATCAAAGTCTTTCATAATATCAACATATATAACTACTTCTAAATACATATTGTAAAAATCTGTCAAGTCTTTAGATATTTTCTTTTTATGAATAAATATTTGCAAATAGTTGAAGAAGTCAGGATAAACCATATTGATGACATATTTTGGTCACAACCACGATAGGGAATTAATTTAAGGAAATTTATTAACAGGATATCATTTTTAGGTTTTCTTACTATTAACTGACTCTCACAGTGCATGCATAATTTTAAGTTATAAGAATTGTATAATGGCATTTAAATGACCACATGGTTAAAGTAAAGGTGCCATGATGTCATTTTTCCCCATAAAAAGGTGATGGCACATTATCTGAACTAGATGCTGATTGCTGATAAAACTCAAACTGAAGATTTTCTGTTTATTATTTCTATTTAGAAAATGTTCATATGTTGATATTATTATTTCTTATGTTTATTTATTTGTTTTTTTTTTAATCTTTTAAGATGTATAAATATGTACATGTAACTAATAAGATATAATATTCTGAGAATTCCACTGTTATTAAATTTAAACTTCAATACAACCTCAATATTTATTTAATATTATTGGTATATTTGATTTCATAGTATAATATGATTCTGTATATTATAATGAGGTCTAATGCATTCAGAGTAGACTGGTTTATATTTGTTAGCAGATAGATCTGACAAATTATTTATATTTATTCACATGTAGGTTTCAATAGGCAAATCAAATGCCAAAAGTTACGAAATAGTCAATATTACGGTGGCTGATTTAGAACACGCAAAAAAAAAAAATATCTCGAGCACTCGAGAGACTGAGACTGACATTTCCTCTTATCTAGAAGCTCGGGTCTGATCCAAGGTTATTTATTTCATATGTAGGCACTGATCACTGCCTAATTTACCCTGGTGCTCGAGATTTTATTTTTTTTTGTGTGTGTCCTAAATCAGCCACCGTACAATATACCTGAATAATACGATAATCATAAATCTCTAGTGACTAGTTAGTCATAATTTTGGGGACAACTAGTTAGTTGGTACCAGCATTTCCAATTTCTTTTAAATCAAGCGAAATCACTCAGACATTTTTATATAGACATATTTAGTGTTCTTGTTAATAGGCCTACCATTTCCATTTGTGTGCTATTTGATTGATCACTTAAAAATCTGTTAACCAATTGAAAAATGAAACAGAAAATGTTGTTTAATCTAGTATGGCTTGCATTGACTCCCGTTTAGTAGAAAAAGGAATTGACAGTACGTGAGAAAGCATAGTGTTATTATGCATGTAATTTACATTTAAATGGCTTCTAATACTGATAGGGGATCACGTGGCTAAGTGGGTAAGACGCTAGCTCGCTAGCCTGGAGGTCGGGTGTTCGATCCCTGCAATGGCCGAGAAAGTTCATCCAGATTTTCCGGCGTGGTTCTCACTTGTCAGTGATGCAGGACGGAGGGGCTGACAAGGAAAGCTGTCTAGTCGTTCGGATGGGACGAAAAACCGAGGTCCCGTGTACACATTGGCGTGCACGTAAAAGATCCCTTGGCAGTTGGAATTCGATATAAGAGTAGGCCCTAGTGCCGCTGTCCGGGCAAAATTTCCCTCATAGCACACTGTATGGTGTATGCCCGTCCTCATTAGCACAGGTTAGGACCAGAACAGAAGGACGTTAAACTCCATTTCATTTCATTTCACTAATACTGATAAAATAATATTAAATCTGTACTTTAAGGTTTTGGCACGAACTGGACGGACATGACCAGAATATTTTATAAAATCAAAACATCTTTCAAATGTTATTGTGTTATCCTAAGATAAACATTGAATACTTATAGCATAGGTAGACAGCACTTTTAGGGATATCACCACCCTGGCAAAACAAGGCATATCTAAAAGTAATGCTCACCATTTGATACAACAACAATACCAATTTTGTTTTTGTTTATACCACCTCATGCTTTTTTTTTTTAAGCCTATAGAAAATCGCACAAGATAATACAAAAGTACAAAAAGCTTGTTAGCGATGTGGAATCTCAGTGATATGTTTATCTGATTCATGAGGGTTTCATTGAGTAAAAAGCAAGTGTGCGATATTGTTTTCTCTGTGGTTATTTATGATAAAACATGACTTTATGATAAAACATGACTTTATGATATAACATCTTATTTGTATCTTGAAAGTATGCTTTGTGTAATTTGTATTGTATCTTGTAACAAAATATCTGGATACACAGTATCATAACAGCTCCAATACTAGCATTTACATGTATATATATTGTCAGATACTGTAGTTTGCCATTCCTTCAATTCAGCATTAACAACTCTTCCAATGAAATTATTATGGTTGTCAAAATGGCAATATTGGTTTTATCCATTTTGAGACTCAGGACTGTGTTGGGACTTTTTTGATTCTCCTTTGGGTAGATTTTAAAACTGTATAATCTTTCAGCAAATGCATTTTCTCATACATTTCTTTTTTATTAAATGATGTTAAATAAGTATTATTAGCATACTAAATCCAACAGAGTTATATATAGTTGCTGTTTGATATTCATCAAAAAATTTTAAGTTGTATTTACCCAAATAAATGAATTATACTTTTGAACATTAAAATTTATGAAGAATGTTCAATGAACAATACTGCATTTCATAACCAAATAATAAAAATAGAGAAATGTTTTGCTCAAAAGTATCTGTTTCCTTCATAGAGAATAGGAGTTAAGAATATTATGGCCTCTATTATAATCTGTAGAAATAAATATAAGAAATTAAAAGCATAAATCTTAGGTTTCAATATCTTTTGAATGTGTAATTTATTTGAGTTTTTAATCAGTGAAATTTATTTTTATATGCATACATTTTATTTTTATATTGAAATGTGATTGTATATTGTTGTTGGTCCGTCTGTCCAAAATTCCATGTGGACTCTTTAAGGGCTATAGTCTAGCAGCTGAAGTCATCATCTGATTGACTGCCACTTTATACAAGTCATGAGATGAAGAAGTCTATTGATCTTCAATGATTTTCAATAATTACATGCAGAGTTATGTCCATTAATTAAGCTAAAAAATCTTGTGGTTGTCTCGCATCATATCTTTTCAAATTTACAGAGAAGAATGTTATTGAAATTTACCATTTTTCAATTAAAGAATGTATTTTTGTTTTTCTCCACTGATATTTTTTACTTTGAAATCTTATTAGCAGTTCAAAAAACAGAACCTCCTTTTTTTCTTAAAGAAACATTGGTGGGTTTCCAGTGGGAATTACTACCTGTTGAAATTCAGAGCTTTTCCTACTTTTATGTTTTGACTTTTAAACCTTTTAATTACATGGTACTATTTAAATTTTGATGTGCGAAGAGTTCATCTTGTAGCTAGCATGTAAAACTTTTTTACTGGTTTATAGATACAGAATAAGACAATAAATCCATATACAAAGCCTTCTACACTAGGCTCCACTAACTATCTATAGGGTATTTTCCTGACTTGACCTGATTAGTTTGGTCACAACTATTAATTCAAGGTAAAATAGTTTCTTCCATTGGGGTGTAAGGAAACTAGTAAATTGTTTTAACGTTTCCAATCTTGCAAATATCCATGGTATTTTAAAAGAAAATATTGTATGTTCAAATAGGATTATGCTTAAATCACGTATCTTTTCCATGGAATTACAGAAGTATTGGCATTTAGATTACCTTTGACCAGGCTATATTTAGAACATAGTGTAAATTGTAAATGATATTGTGTAGATTGATAATTATTTAAAGATGGGTTCCCGCGTACAAACTGGGTGATTTAATGGTATATATGGACTAAAAACATATTCAAACTAATTAATTTGTCATAACTTTGCTTCAAATCCTTCTCAAACATTGTAATTGCGAAGGAATGTCTGCTATAAAAATTCGATCAAACCAAGTCAGGTTTACGTCACGTGACTTACCTCTCTTGGAAGTCAGAGGAGAATTCATTGCATACATAAGACGATGTTATCTTTAATCGCTTATTATTTATTACAAATATCGAATCCTAATTAAATTTGCGGATTATCCACTACCCGCGTCTTTTTCCGTCATTTTTATCTAAGAAAATGTTGTACGTCTAACTCTTCATAAAGTTTATCAACTTGTACATCAAGCGCTCAATGTTCGCGTGTGACCTTTGACATCACACATGCAGAAATTCCTAATCGTCGGGCTGTTGATAAGGGGAACCCTTACATTTTTGTCCTATATACGCTCCATGAGTGTTTTTCGGGGAATCCAGTATTTTTCTAGTAAGATTGGATATCTCTGCTTCCCATATATACCAAAATTACCATACTTTTATTGGAAATAACCACCCGATAAATACTTTTCTGGGAACTCATCTTTAATTTCTTCTGAAAAATTATATTCCCTTTATAGAATGATTGTTACTGTTATCTATGCAAATATTCATTAGATTATCATTACAAAACAGCCAAAAAACATTTGTTATTGTTATGTTTAGTTGTCATGAATGATTATGTTTTATCTTCTTCCGTTAAAATAAATTGTTTATTAACATAAAATAATAAGTGTTTTTGTGTTAAAACTATCTAACACAACGTCCTGATTTTTATCCAATTAATTAAACTTATATCTATATTTCATTTCTCTTTTATTGTTGATTTTCTTCACACGGCCTGTACATCAAATCTAACATAGATTATTTTATGTGCAAGCCTCCTACACAGGACCTAAGTTTTCTGTCTTATCTGAATGACCAGACAACGCTGTTCCTTGCCAGCCCGCCCTCCGGAAATCAGTATCGAACACCCAGAGGAACTTTCTCAATCAAATCTGGAATGGAACTTGGGATATATCCTGTAATGAGACAGTGTGCATAGTATATTTATTTTTTCTCGGTTGGATCAGAACAGTAGGACATTAAACACCATTTCAATTCACGGTAGCATGATTTACTCAAATCCACCATTATTTCAACTCGTATAATAATGATCATTTATATCTATATTTGATAATATATACGTTTTGCCAAGTAATGTTTTTGTTTCAAAAATGTCCCTCAAAATGCAAAATGGAAATCGCATTTTGAGGGTGAATTTTGACACAAAAACGTTTCTGTTTTAAATTAAAAATGACAATTTAGCATAAAGAACGGTATACATGTATTATCAAATATCGATATAAATCATTATGATATGAGTTAAAATTTAATAATGGTGGATTTGGTTACAACTTCCAAACTTGCTTGGAAATAATTATTACATGTTGAGGGGCATTTTGACACAAAAACGTTACAATTGTAAATTAAAAATTACATTATCGCATAAAGTCTAAAGTGGTATATTATGGTGGATTTGGGAATATCGTGCTACCCTTTCAAGTTTCATTCAATCATATATACCATCAGATTTAACTCCTTAAGCCTCTTTAATTTTGTCACCCAATCTTGCACTAGATATATATAGATGGCTTAGAAATGTAATGATATAAAATGGGGTTTAACGTCCTACTGTTCTGCTCCGAACTGGGCTAATAAAGACGGGAATACGTCATACAGTGTGCTATGACATGAGGGAAATTTTGCGCGGACGCTCGGCACTACGGCCTACTCTTATTTATATCGAATTCCAACTAGCTGTCATGGGATCTTTTACGTGCACACAATGTGTAAGCGGGACCTCAGTTTTTAGTCCTTGTCAGGCCCTTTTTCCTGCATTACTGACAAGGGGGAACCACACCGGAAAATCTGGAAGAACTTTCTCGGCCAATTAATGCAGGGATCGAACACCCGATCTCCAGGACGACCTTCGGATGTAGACTATGGTCGCGACTACAGTCTGAACTAGCACCCAAACGCAAATGGCCCTAGCCATTGACTATTCAATATAGCGCCTGCTATATTTTCTCTTTATTTACTCATGTATTTTTAAAAACTGGTTAATTTTCCATACTGCGATGTGAAAGCAAGGTTACAAATAGGATTAGTCAACAATATCAGAATATTTTTCATTTGAATTATGTCACCCAACTAAATCATTTCACACGTACAGTTTTTTGTCGGGTGCCTATATATATAATATATTCGAATAAGACTGAAGATTCTAATCTGTCAAATTCATCAAAAAAGACGAAAAAAAATCATATTTAACATCTATACTACAATTCCCATTCTTTCAGGCGTTAACATGGGCCCTATAATACCGACCAAGGTGTAAATAACGCAACGGCAATCGGCAATTTTATTATATTTTTCAGAAAATCTTCTCAAGTGTCAGTTTTGTCAGCCATCTTTGAACTATCCCGACCGTGCTTTATCGCATGGTACGGCTGGTCACGACCACTGGTTGAACTAAATGTCATTCGCATGCAGATGGTTCGACTATATCACGAAAATCCGTGCAACCGAAGGTCGCCCTATATATAGCTAGCGAGCCAGGATTGTTTCGACATTTCAACAATTTTAAACCAGAAATAAAGAAACAGCAACTGATTTTCGATAAGGTCTGTAATATCAATCAATATAAATAAGCTGTCCATTACTGTTGTTGGAAGACGTAATATTGCATCACCTGCTTGAGTCCATGTATTGATGTAAACAAATTTACACGGTTCATGATTATTCATCATTACCTCCGAAATTATATTTATTTGTCCCGTAAATACATTACAAATCAATACAAGGCTGCATGTGCTCTTCCAAATAGTATTAGTAATTAATTAAATATTAACTTCTTTAAGTGCTATATAAACAAATAATTGAAATAACCACCCTGACCCATTCTATAACTTTTGACATGTGAATCCAATGTTATTGTTAAAACCACGTTGTTACATTGGGGGTGTGGCAAATTCAGGAAATGACGACACAAGATGGTTGTTCTGCTCAACTATGGCGAACGAAGATGCGATCGTGTTAAACTTCAACGACAGTTTATTGCGAGCTTCGGATCTTGAAATATTAGATGGACCTAACTGGCTAAATGATAAACTGATCGGGTTTTGTTTTGAGTAAGTAAAACCCGCTTGCCACAAGATATGACACGATTTTCAAGAAGAACAAGCAACATACGAGCAGTGGAAAAATTCAGGTTTTTGACCTCGGCTCGACAGTGTGAGTGTGGTCGATTACCGTAGTTTTGCCAGGGTTGGTTCACAATCCTCTTTTTCACTCGGGGACAATTTATGTACTACGGTACATTAAGCCTGACTTCGAAATGGTCATTATTATCCCATAATTTGCAGTTCACTTGATTTTATTGCTGTAAAAATTACTCCGTTTCTATTAAGACTAGTGAGTAGTGTCAATCATATGAACTGCTAAGGAATTGAATAATTGCTTATATTAATATTTGAAGACTTCTCTTCTTAATATTAGTCTATATATTATTATTATTCTGTCTAGACAAACCTCCCCCAAAAAACAGAAAGAAGCATTATTATTTTATCACTTTCTTCAAAGACATCATAAAGCTTAAAAAAAAAACAAAAAAAAAAAACGACAGAAAGAAGCATTATTTATTATTATTATATCACTTTCTTCAATGTAATCATCATCATAAAGCTTTTTAACGCAGACATACTGGTAACTTGGTAGCCAAGTTGATATAGGTCTACAGGACAATTTTTCTTAGGGGTTCTACATCATTTTTGCCCGAAAAATGAACCTACATAATTATTTTAGGCTATACACCATCGTCCTCAATCAATTATGTATTGCAAAAATCAGTCAGTTATCGGTATGAAATTACATCAGAAATTAGTGATTTGAATTCAATTTTTAAAAAAAGTTATTGGAATTTCTAATCAATTATGTTCAAGGGGATTGGATGGCTGAATGTTTAGCATGTATGCACTGTATCATAGGTCTGTCAGTGTCATTGAGTCAACTGGCATGGTTTCGATTCCTGTCGCCTGTCCAACCTCGTGGATTTGTTCCAGGTCCTCCAGTTTTCTCCCATTGCTAAAGACCCCTAGGCACAAGAAAATAATTGAAATAAAATTGAATCAATGTTAGCCCCGAAATTACCTAGTTTGTGTCGAGTGGACATTAAACCCCATTTCTCTTCTTCATTTATGTTCGGTGAAATATATGAACAGTCCAAATTGAACGAAAATTGTTTACTCCTGCTGAGTACATTCTACACATTATTTTATAATATTTTTGTCGTTTGTGAATCAGCCATTAGTAATTACTTCCACATCGTCTTGTAGGATATGCTTTTCTTTCTTCGTTACAAATGGCACCCGCAAACATAGAATACATGACTCATGTAGTTATTATAAAATGGTCATTGTGTCTTATTCTTAAATATTGAATGTTAGGATCCCATATCTTCACAGCAAGATATCAATATTGATTAAAATGGACCTACCTTGAATTCTAATTTGTGTTTTTAATTTAGAATATTATGAAAAATATTGAGTTAGAAGTTTGGCTCCTTTAGTTTTTTTTAATCAAATTCATGTGTTATGTGAGTATGAATTTTTGACTGTACTGTATTTTTCGATTTTTAATTCAATACCAGTAAAGAATCTCTGGTGTCTGTTTTTAGATCAAAAGATATTAATTGATCCAAAAATAGTTCTGCCTTTTATGTTTTGTCTTTGATACCAACCGTGAAATAAAAGATTGAAGTACAATGTGAATTGTTAGTTGTATTTTAGTGTATTTTCAAATCCAAATTAAATAACAAGTTAGTTTCAGGGGTTCTGGAAGAGAAATGTACCATGCCTCATGCACAACAGATATATATTTAAAGATTTTGTACATTCTGAAAGTTGGAACACCAACAATCATTTGTATTTGAATGCTTCTCATCTTCAACAATAATGTCTGATAAAAACTAAATAGGTTAGAATAACAGTACAATGTAAGTTTCTCTTACTACATCATGAGTACCAGATGAGAGTTTGGTCTGCTAACTCATTGTACCAGTAGTGGGTTTTCAAAGCTGCTATGATATACTCTTGTCTATGGTTGACAGATGTCATTGTCAAGGTCTTTATAGATAGTAATAAAAACTATAATAAACTACTTCACCTGTGTTTTATGTATAGTAATTGTATATTTTTTTCGCTTCAGATATTATGAAAGAGAACAGTTCAACCATTCAGCAGATAAATTATCTCTTATTAGTCCGTCGGTTACACAGTTCATCAAATTAGCACCAGGTAATATTTTATATGTAAGACCACATGGAAATGTTGTTGTATAATTGCTGTTGCCCTTGCCTGTCCGTCTGTGACCTTCAATTTCTTATGAACTCTCTACAGACTAAACTTATTATCCGGTCCTTTGAAAATTTATATCCTTATTGATATATCCAATTTCAGTAGAAAAACAATCACAACCGTCGCAAAGTGAATGCTAAATTTTAAATGTGGATCAAATTGTAACAACAGTATCTTGATCCATTGGCAGATCATTCCAATTTGTTGGGGATGAGAGTAGGGCACTACAAAGAATTTGTTGAGTACAGGTCTTAAAGAGCACATCAAGTGAGAAAACAGTATTATATGAACGTATAGCCAGTGGTTACTATATTACGGCAAGTTAACACCAAACTGAATAATATTAATTGAGCCATCTTTACTCAAAGTCGCAAATATAGACCTACGGTAAAAAACCAAATTTGCTAATTATCGAAACACTCAGATGCCAGTGACGTCATAGTGACTAAATGCATATTACTATTAGGAATGGTTATTCCTTAATTACCTATACACACCGCGATGTATACTCATTAATGCATGACTGATTCTCTAATTAAATGAAACAATTAACTATGGGATAATTTGATTTGTAATTTATTTTAATTTTAGATACTATTTAGAATTTGTTTTAGACAATACAAAAAAAATAAGTTGTTTCTCATGTCCCTTCCACAACCAATTATGGATGCTCCAGAGGCTAAAGTTAATATCCGATTGACTTTAAATTTATACACAGTGTTTAAGGTCATGAGACGAAGAAGCCTAGTGGTTTTCAGTAATTTCCGATAATTGCTGTTCGAGTTACATGTATGACCCTTAATCGCTTTGAAAAATCCTTTGGATGCTCTAGAGGGAAAAGTTAATATCTGATTAACTCTAGATTTATACACACTGTTTAAGGTCACGAGACGAAGAAACCTAGTTATTTTCAATAATTTCCAATAATTACTGTCAGAGTTATGGTCCTTGACCACTTTGAAAATTCTTGTAGAAGCTCTAGAGGCAAAAGTTAATATATGATTGACTTCAAATTTATACACAGTGTTTAAGGTCATGAGATGAAGGATCCTAGTCATTTTCAACGATTTCCAATAATTACTTCCGGAGTTATGACCCTTGATCACTTGGAATTTTTTTTTGAATGCTCTAGAGGCTAAAGTTAATATAAATTGTTCAAGGCCACGAGACAAACAATCGTAACAGATTTTAACAATTTCTGATAATTTCTTAATTGGTTATTACTCGTAATGACCCTTGATCACTTTAAAAATGCTCTATAGGCTAAAGTTAATATAAATTGTTCAAGGTCGTGAGACAAACATTTGAAACAAATTCTAATATTTTGTGGTAATTACTTCATGGGTTATTATTCGTAATAAGATTTTTATGTATTGTAAACGTTCTCCTTACTGACAAAAGAAAAAATATGTGACAACCCTTGTTGACTGCCCGGACGACTTAGCTGTTGTGGGCGTATGTTTCATTGCCTGGCAACCTATCTTTCCTTATGGCTTCCAAGTAAGTGCAAGGGTGCATGATGGTGATGACTAGACATCTTGTTATAATTTATTTTCATTTGTTTTAGTTGAAGAATTAACAGTTATTCTAGAATCATTGAACCTTCCATTAAAACAGTTTGTATTTTTAGCTGTCAATGACAATGAAGACTCAAATAATGTAGGAGGTACACATTGGTGAGTAGGCCTATCCATATTAATTTGTATGTAAATGTCTGAACATATGGTTTATGATAAGGTCTTTTTAGGCAAATTCTATATGCCTATATTTCTTTCAAAAGATATATTTTAAATTAATGTTTTTACTGTGACCGATAATATTATTCAATAGGTATGAACTATGGATTTTGAAGTTGCAACTTTTATATATTCAGTAAATAGGCCAGACACAACTAAGATGTCTTTTGTAAAAGTAATTTCTGACAATATTTCAGGAGCTTATTAGTGTATATACGCAGTAAACAAGAATTTCATCATTTTGATTCAGCCAATCATGCGAATGAACATATAGCCAAAAAGTTAGCATATAGATTACAACCATTTGTACATGGTAAGTGAAGACCTAATTTTTTTTGTCCTCCGCCTTTCAAAGAAAGTCATAGCCTAATTAAACGAGAGTGATGAAACTGTAGAGTTCCAAATCTTGAGCATTTTTTGCTCAGGTACAGAGATGAGTGAATTGATTGGACGAGACCTTAGAACAGGATAGTTTCATTCCTTCACTTCCTTGTTTTTGACTAAGTTTGATTATATTGATTGGACCAGATTGGTCGATGTTTTATAATATGGTAAATGTGCTGGTAATTAATGAGCGCCATCTATTTAAGACTGGACATCAGCCTCACTGTTTTTTTGTTTGTTTTTTTTTTTCCAACAAATAAAACATATTATAATTTATAATTTAATTGTGAGTACAGATTTTCAAATTATATTTCAGCACCGTTTTATTAAATATTTGTATAGAGAATTTTTCCATTCCATTGAGTCCAAAGCTTTGAAGAAGAGTTTGTATCCTGCCGACATTACATCCTGTATGTGTTGGGGTCATATGACTTGTTAAAAATAACAGCCAAAATTATTTAAGATTTATATTACAGAAAATTCAGTGTCTTGTATTAGTCCTGGATCTGACTAGTTTTGTAGGAAAGTTTGAGTAGGGAGAATGTTTTTGTACAAATGTTTAGTAGGTGCCTTAGTCAGTATTTTGGACTTGAGATGGACACTCACCACGTGATAGGTTATTCTCCTATGAGGTCATCGAAGATGGCTGCCAACATTATTTCAGTTTTATTCTACCTGCTATAGTTTTCTATGAATGTCTATGAAATAAAGGAGGGGAAAGATAGAATGTTAAAATGCATTGCAAATTTCTGCATTACTTTAATCTTTAATCATCAGTAGAAATACGCTATATAAAATGATAATTCGTATATTATTTACAGCTACAAAGTAGAGAAAAAAAAATATGTTTCCGTTTTATCCAATAAACAGTTTATTGTCATTTCATGCAGAAAGATATGGTGTTGAAACATGTTGCAAATTTTTGTATCACATCGTAGGCCTTAAATTATCATATAAATTAACACTTGGTATTTTGATTGAGTATTTTACAGCAACAAGAATGTTTCCGTTTAATCAAAAATTCCAATAAACAATTTACTGTTAGTTCGAGGGGAAAGTTCTACAGGTGGTAGACAATATTTAAATGTTGTTTAAATGCTTATTTTCCTAAACTTATGATGCAGATAGATGTTTATATGGAAGGTCCTCCTGAATATAAAATAACATTTTATGTGATATAGGTGACTTGATTACAATGCAACATAGGAAACTTAGAAATTTTGCAGTCTAGTAGTTTATTCATCCCTTGATTCTGTGAAATAAAAAAACAAACATTTTGCCTCCCAAAAAAAATTCTCTCTACTCAAAGTTTCCTACAGAAACATAGTCAGATTCTGGATATTATGAAATGACAGTGTATTGCTATGTTTTGTTTTCAGCACCCAGAGGTAGAATGAAATTTATTGAAATGGATTCTCCACAACAAGCAAATTGTAAGTGTTTTATAAGCCACCAGAAAAAATTAAATTAGATTGTATATATTTGCTTTTTAAAGATGCATTATGTAAGATTAAGATAAATGTTTTATAAGCCAAAGGAAGAAATTAAATTAGATTGTATACTGTTGCTTTTTAAAGATGCATTATGTAAGATTAAGATAGAGCTGGCTATTCTCACTAAATTAGTTCAAAAAAAGAAAATGAAAAATAAAGTTTTCATCCATCTGATGTGATAGTCTACAGAGTTGATTATTGGCTTTCATATGAAGAAATAATAATTTATATAACATTTGAAACCCCCCCCAAAAGACCTGCAATAGGCAGATTTAGCTCTTACATAATGCATCTTTGAATAATATAAAAGTGTAATTCAGTGAATGCTTCAGTCTGAAACTACTGCTACCATTAGTGGGTCAAGTTTATATAGCTGTGAACTATTTAAGAACTGTATATTATTCCCATTACTCTGGCACTTTGGCGCTGTCTAGGGTGCTAAAGGGTTAAAAATACATGTTATTGATTTTCCTTCTAAATTGATAGAATGTCAGAAGCAATTTATTTTTTATTTTTAAATTTAAACATACATTATGCAAGAGCTAAATCTGTCTTTTGCAGGTCTTTCTTTACGCCTGAAGTGTTATCTAAATTGTTAATTAGACATTAATTAACTTATCCATACCATAATCAACTCTCGATTGCCAACGGATATCTCCGATATTAAGTAGATTAGAACGATTCAGCCATATTTTGATTTAATTTAAAAATAATGGAGCGAAACTTAACTTTGAACAACCAGTATGGTGGTTTCAATTTGTGCACACGTCTTGTCAAATCTTCAAAGGTTAATATCTTCGCTCACAATAGAGTAATTTGAATGAAATTTTCAAATTATTCATTTTACATTATCTATGTTTAAACTATTATAGCAAGAATGGCTAGCTCTTTATTTAAATCTTACTTAATGTATCTTTAATATAAAACAAGCAGTTGCCATACAAGATACCTCCATGACGGAGAACTAGGGAAATAGGCAGGGCTCATCCTCTCATTACCCCAATGCTTCACATCAAATTAAAAACAGGATTTTGGCAAAGGGGGTTAACTCTGGAACAGAAGGTTGCAGCTTGCTGAATATCAATGGTGTTTTTGTCTTCTCATGAACCTAATGTTTCACACCAAAATTGAAACTGTAGCCTCGATCACTTTCACAAAGGTTTCTCCTGAGGGGCCATACTCTGATACTCTGGAACAAAACATCACAGAAATTGTGACCTATTGCGTGTCCACAAATAAAGGTGAATGGTTATGTACTGTCAATTTTAGTTTTTGAATGTTTCTGGTATAAATTTTTTTAGCCAGGATTTTCATTTTTTTCAGGTTATGATTGTGGAATTTATGTCATCTCAATAGCTGAACATTTATGCCGAGAATTTTGTGAATGTATCAACGACGTCTCTTTATCTCATGTGGTTACTGCCACAACAGTGTCAAAAAAACGTGAACAGCTTAAAGAACTTATAAGAAGCGTAGCAGAAGAGCATGCAAGCTGACAAACAGTTGATAATATGTGATTTAGTACCTCATTGTATTCAGGAGTTGGGTTGTCCGTTTTACCTATCTTTCTGTGGTTTTAATTCAGTAATTAAATGGGATTTTCCAGATGGCTTATATAACTAGTCCAATCTTTTTTCCCAATATGGCTCTGCAGTTACTTTTGTTTGTTTTAATTTAAAGTAAGGTATACAATGTATGACAAACTAACTCATAGAGTATAAGAGATTAACACAAACTTTTATTTAAGCCAAATATATTTTTATGTATTAAACCATTCAATGCAATGATTAGGCCGCAATTAATTAATTGTTTGTTTCTCATGACCCGTCTGCATGTCTGTTTTCATCCATAATAATTACGTACTTCCATAATTATTTGGTCAAATTTAGTGAGGTCACAAATTTGTCCTGTAAAATTTGTAAAACTATATTGATTAGCCTTCAAATATGAACAGTGAACTGATGCATTAAAATTCACTATTTATCGATAAACATGAAACTGTAGGTGATAAGTAAAGTCTAGTAGGCTAGCGTGTGAAAAAATATATGAAGTCCATCCATGAAACTGAAACAGGAAGTTAAAAAAGCTGTATCATATCTGTCATTCAAACCAAGGAATGGTAGCTACAGCATTTTCTTTCACCAAAGACGACATACATACTTCATAAGGCACTTGTCATTTGTAATAAAATTCACAGAAAGAAATAAATATCTTTAAATTCCTGCTAAAATATTTTATTTACGTGACTAGCACTCTGTGACAAACGGCTCCAAAACTGCCACCATGAGGTATGGACTGATTGACACTGCTTCACATTATTTTATTAACCAGTCCTAAATTGACACAAAGATACTAATAAATGTAAATAGTTTGATGAAGATAGACAAAATTATAAAAGTGTTTATATTATCACGAGTCGATGCCATTTGCCGATGGGGCAGAGTTGAAGACACTTAACATATCTTCCTTCACGGTTAGAGAAACGAACAAATGTGCAATAAATTCTTTGGACTTGTTAAATAATCTAACTTATTTTGTATTTAAAAATCCGAAGGTATGCCTTTAAATATTTATATCAGATCAAGTTACCAACCTGATTGGAACAGATGATTTTGTAACCTGTCAAAGTAGGGAAAGATGAAGAAATGAAATGCCAAGAATTAATGAAACAACGAATGGTTAACTTAGAAGCATATCACTAATAATTTAGAACTATTATTATGATCAAGTCTTCAGATGCCTGACTTTTGTGCAACAGATATTTTAATCTATAAAACTTTGATTAAATGTGAATAAATCGCAGATGCCGGTTACCGTTGGATTTTCAATGCCCCAAATAACTGACAATTGCTGAAATAGAAACAGCGTTAAACTCAAAAAATTTAAATTCCATCATCTCAATAATTAATAATTACCTCATGTAGCATGTATATTTCACAAACACTGATCATGAGAAACAACAATTAATTAACCATGGTCTTATAAGTGATGTATTATAAATGTATTAAGGATGTGATGATTATATAGGTATGTTAGTAAAAGTGATATCTGGTTGTACAGGAGGATTCTTATATATGATGTACATTTACTAAAAAACGCAATAATAATGACTTTTACACATAACTGATTTTTTGTACTCTTATATAAAGTGGGAGCATGTTATGATAATCCCCCAGTACATATTAGTTTTATCAGATTATTGTTCTTTACAGAATTTTTATATGCTCACGTGGAAATGTGAACGTATATTGCCGTCTCCCCTGTCCGTCCGCTCTCAAGCCAAAAGTTGTCATCCGATTGTTTTAAAATTGATATATTATTATGTTGTTTACATTAAAGAGATGAAGAAGCCTATTTAATTTCAATAATTTCCATTAATTACTTGTAGATTTGTGTACCTTGTTTTACATTGTGTTGCACCTTGTGAACATTCTAATATCAAAAGTTATCTGCCGCTCTGTATGAAATTTATATGCGTCATTTAGATTAGTAAAAAGAAGAATCCTATGGTTTCACTTTGTTGAACCTTGTGAATGCTCTAACACCAAAAGTTATCATCCAATCTTTGTGAATTTGTGAAATTTATGTGCATTATTTAAATAAGTGAAATTTCAGCAATTTCCGTCAATTACTTCTAGATTTATGGCTCTTGTTTTACTTTGTGAAACTTGTGAACATTCGAACGACAAAAGTTATCATCCGATCTGTATGAAATTTATATGCATTATTTAAATTAGTAAAACGAAAAAGCTTGTCAATTTTCAACAATTTCTGTAAATTACTTCAGAGTTAAGGCCCTTGTTTCAGTTTGTAGAACCTTGTGAACCCTCAAATGACGAAAATTATAATCTGATTTGTCTGAAATTGTCTTGTAAATGGCCCCAATTACCTACAAAAGAATAAATATGCGACAACCCTTATCAACTGCTCGGACGATTTAGCTGCTGTGGGCATATGTTTCATTGCCTGGCAACCTATCTTATAAAACTAGTTGGGATCTATCAACATGTCATGAAGATATTCCTAATTTAGTTGATTATTGATGTTAAATCATCAAAAACACTGATTTGAAATGGCTACTTTATAACATCCAACATGTCTTGTTGTTTGACCAGCTTCCTGTTATTTGGGTGTTTGTTTATAACACACTACCCATTTTTGTCCCTCACCTTTTAAAGAAAGCAGGGAACTATTAAAATAAGTTCGTCTGTCTGTTTCTCCGCCTGTTTGTTGAATGGTTTTACTGAGTTCGATGATGAACATTTTCTGTGTGGGCTAAGCAGAGATATGCAAATTACGTGGGTGAAACTTTGGAACATGGGATACAGATACATTACATTACATTAGTACCTTTACTAAGTTCAATGCTGAGCATTTGCTGTTTAGGTTTCAAGCAGAGATAAACAATTTGATTGGAGTCAAGACCTTGGAACACAATAACTTTGATTCTAATTGTGTGAGAGTGATCAATCCCTTGACATTAACCCCGTTTACATTACAAATTTTAAGTGTACCAGGCACGGTTAGCTTCGCTTTTTTGTAGTGTAAACTGGTCAAACGTAAGCGTGCCGCGCCTGGTACGGTGCCAATCTGGCCCACTGAAGTGAGGTGGTCTCAGAACGGTACCAGGACCGGCTCGCTTTAAGTTTTCGTAGTGTAAAAGCTAACCGGTCTGAGCACGGATTACTGCGCATGCGCCATATGAACCTTAGCCTTTTTCCCCGCAAACTTTGACCGCTCTGTCATCAGTTCTGTCAAAATGGCTGCTCAAACTAAATCAACCATCATAATTGTTTTCATCTGGGTAATTTGTATAGGTACTGAAATTAACTTTTCTGTGAAGGGTTCCACATTTAGCATGCTTGGCACGATTCTGAGACCGCGTTATTTTAGAGTAATGTAAACGGGTCAATTTCTTGAAATTTATCGCCGCCTGTTACTGTGCCCAGAATGGCACGCTTATCGCAGCCAAGTGTAAACGGGGCTTAAGTTCGATAAAGAGCATTGCCTGCATTAACACGAGAATTTTCAAACTCAGTATTGTTTAGGTTAATTAGGTGAATGCATTTTTAACTTAGGCTAAGCAGAGATAAGCAATTTGATTGATCTAGACTTTTGGACACAATAATAACCCTGCTTCTTATTGAAATAGAATTTTCAAACTTCGGGGTGGCAAGTTTGGAGGTCACATGCTTGATCCCTACATCGGCCAATAAAGTTCATTGGGATTTTCAGACGTAGTTTCCCCGTGTCAGTGGTGCAGGACGGAGGGCCTGACAAGGACAGCTGTCTAGTCATTCGGATGGGACGGAAAACAGAGGTCCTGTGTATACATTGGCATGCACGTAAAAGATCCCTTGCCAGTTGGAATTCGATAGAAGATTTCCCCTCATAGCACACTGTATGGCATATTCCCATCTTCATTAGCCCAGGCGGAGCAGAACAGTAGGACATTAAACCCCATTTCATTATATATATTGTGAGTAATGTTGTCAGTACCATTTACAACTACCAGTACCATTTACAACTACCAACTACATTAAGTCACTCAATGAGCAACAAGTATCATGTCATCATATTTGTCTGTGTTTGTTGATAATTCCAGTTCTGGACATTATTAAAAATATTTAGTATCGGGGGCGCCATTGTTACACTCAACTAATTAAGGAGCAATTTTCAAATTATTATCTTTTGTGTTAAAAGATTGAATATTTGATACTACTAATTCAAATTGAATCTCATGTCCCATTCCATAATTGAATAGCCATATGTTTAGAAATAGGACTATAACATTGTTCTTGCTGTTGCATGTTTTCGAATATTTTTTTTTATTCTCAGCACAAATTTAATAGCTATTGACAGTTGTTTCATATTTATTATGCATATGTGTTTAGTTGGTACCCTTAGGTACACATTAGTTAATGTAAAGATCAAAGGGAAAGGTTGGGAAAAACCTAGTAAAGCCAAAATAAGGAGTGACCAGTATTGAAATCAGATTCATTCCATCTGACTGACCATACGCCCAAACTCAAAACATCTTATTCCCTTTTTGTTGGAATCCAGAGTCCACTTAGTTATGGGTATGATTTACCAGTCTGTAACCCTATCCAAACTAGTCTTGTGTACATTCAGGGAATATAGTTTTGCTGTGAGAGCTCCAGTTCGATGGCTTTTGAGTTACTTTGTGGTCAAACCTATTGTGTGTTAGACTGGTGCAGAAAAGGTGATTAGCAGAAAAGGTGATTATTTTAGTTCTGCAATTTGATGTAGTTTTTAAATTGAATGAATAAGTTGGGAAATGTCAAGTGCCATTAGTTTAATAATACTCCAGAAGAATATACATGTACCCCTTTATATAACAATGAGTATGCTGATTACATCAGTTAAAATCTATATTTGATATACATGTACAATGTAAGAGTTTTCTTTTTGGTGTGAATGCATTTGTTTAATTGTACAGTATTTAGTAGATACATCTAGTTTATAGATATTGTGCATTTAAGTAGAAACATGTAGTTTACAGATATATTGTACATTTATTATTGACATACTATCTGTGTTACCCTTTAGGGTTTTTTTGTTCATAATATTTTTTTCAGCCCCTAAAGTTTATTTCTCCTTTTAAGTCTAAATAAGAAACACTGTTATAAAATGTACAAAGGCAGCCTAAATCAAGTAGGACACATGAATTATTTTCACTGAATGAAATACTAAATCATGCTAACTGTAATGTATGATCTGACTGGTTGAATGGGGTTTGACAGGGTGTGTATGATTTAACCAAAAATATCTTTGTTTAATTCTCGGTTTGTTGCAATTTTACTTCATTCATACTAAAACTTGATAAATAAAGGTATTAATGATATAATCTGTATTTCTTTTCTTTATGGGGTTAGGTAGTGGATGGTCTAGCAAACACATGCCCTTTTGATCAAAAGGTCTGTCATTGAGATCAAGGGGAGGGATTTTGATTCCCTGTTAGTATATGCCATGTGGTAGTGTCGCCTGTCCAACGTCATGCGTTTTGTCTGGATCTCCAGTTTGCTCCCAGTGTCATTGATTAATTGGATAAAAATAGACCCAACAATTCTTTAAAATAAACAAAAACTGTTGTTTGAGAAACCGATCGCGAGGTCCCTTGATACACATCATATTACTGTCTGATTCATCGTAAATTTTAAACGGATTTCTTCGATTATGAACAAACTACTTAACGTTGGTTATTATAAACTTACCTGCGTGTTTGTAATGAACTCCCGTTCGATAAAATCCATTGCACAACTAATTATCACAACGATGAAAACAAGTTCTCTCTTGAAAAATTGAAGTATCACAAACTTTTCCCAGAGAAAAATACCAATATGGAAGATGGTTACGTCACTCTGCGGAAGATATCATTTCGTATTAGGGGTGACAGCATAGGAAATTCAAGTACAATTACGACAAGAATCCATGACCACTCGGACCAAAGATCACTCGGTTCAAGACCAGTCGGACCAAGTGATAGACCACTCAGCCCAAACAAATAGACTACTCGGACCATACAAAAAGACTATTCGGACCCAACAGAAAGACGACTCGGACCAATAATAAAATGTTGTTTTAATAAATTGATAATTGCGTTTGTTTTAATATAATTACTCGAACCAATAATAAAGTGTTATTTTAATAAATTGATAATTGTGTTTATTTTAATATGACTACTCGAACCAATAATAAAGTGTTATTTGAATAAATTGATAATTGTGTGTGTTTTAATATGACTACTCGAACTAATAATAACGTGTTGTTTGAATAAATTGATAATTGTATTCCAAATCGCAAAATATCGAGAACCACACTTGTAGTCACGTTTAAAAAGGGGCATATAAACGTCCGGTCTTCGTATTATTATGTGCTGTTTATATTAACGCATCAAGGGCGGATAACTTGAAAACGTGTCTCCCCTCCCCCCCCCCCATATATAGTAACCCAGGGGTTAGTGGGGTAGAACGGAATGAAACCACTGGGGATACCGCGAATGTGGAAAAAGTAAAATTAGGCTATCAGACAAGAACAGTATACCCGTATATGTAGAAACTGTCAAAAGTCTGGACATACCGAGTCTCATTGCAAGAGTAAAGAAAAATTAGATTGATATTTTTTTTTGGCACCATTATTAATTAATTTTAAAACTAATCGTTGATTTATTTACGTACACAAAATTGAACCAAACAACTCTAAATATAAGAATTCCGTATAAGAATTATTTGCTTCTTTGTATTGTGATTTAATAATAAATAAATAGCATATTGTCTAGCCTTATAATATAATTTAATTGGTCCGACTGGTCTTGTTTTGGTCCGACTGGTCTTAGTCCGAGTAGTCTTTGGTCCGAGTGGTCTGGATACCTACGACAATTGGCATTGAGTTTGAGCGTTCGCACACATAACTACCCGCATTCCTGTATTTAGTTACCGTCTTTTACATTCTAGTAAAATCTCTGCAAATTTTATAGCTTTACTTTTTGAAATATTTTGTTCTAATTATTTGATTAGCGACTCGGATGGGATTATTTACTTTTGAACACTCATGCCGCACAAACACAACTATACATTCGTTTTACGGGCTTTATCACACTTCGGTCAAAACTGTCGAATCGAGAATTAATGTTCCGCTTCTTACGGGGTCATACGGGCTTAGTAGCATTATATACCCACCCGGGCACCCAATACGGCAATAGACACGCTGAGGGCTGTCGCAACACGCTTAAAGATGTTACTGAAGCGGTTATTATTCGATCGAAAGAATGCGTATAAAATTAAAAATACACTCAGAGACTTCGGAGGTTATAAGCTTCATGATCCTTGTTAAATTATGTATAACATAAAGAAGATAGGATATTTATAGTTTATTCATGACTTTATTTTTACGAGTATCCGTGCAATCAGTGATATTTTAATTGTGAAGAAAATTTGATAGACTGGCGATCAATGGTTTCCATATAAATCTCCTATGTAATTGCCTTCAATTGATATTTTTCGTCGCCCAAACCCATATACGATCAAAATGATCGCGCTGTCAAACTATCTTTCAATGTTAACCAACCCCCGCAACAGGTATATTGGATTCGACCAATACGTCACGAAGACATTGTTGACATCGACTCTGTCGAAATTACAAGTAAATTTTCAAATTTTTCAAGAGAGAAATTGTTCTCATCGTTGTGATAATTAGTTGTGCAATGGATTTTATCGAACGGGAGTTCATTACAAACACACAGGTGAGTTTATAATAACCAAAGTTAAGTAGTTTGTTCATAATCGAAGAAATCCGTTTAAAATTTACGATGAATCAGACAGTAGTAATTATTATTATTAGGCCTACATAGATCATGTCCAAATAACTAGTCCATACATAGAACCTTCGACAATGAAGACAGAGTAAGTGGAAACGTCGCTTTCCGGGCAAAATTTCACTCATAGCGTATCGTCGTATGTCCGTCTAAGACTATTTATTATCCCGGTTGGTTGAGAAACGTAGGGCGTTAATCTTAAAACTCCATTTCGTTTCTTATTTTCTTCAAACAGTCGGCCGAAACCGGATGTCGAAGTTGGTTGAATTACACCGGAAGTGTATAAATACATCAGAAAAATAGTGCATTTTCAGACTTATCTTTCACGAAATGTAAATATTTCCTTTCAAATAGCACTTTATTCTTAAAGCGTAATTGAAATATAAAACGATGTGTACATAGGGGCCAAAGAATAATTGTTGTTTAGAAGTAATTCTATATTCTTCTGCGCGTAGTTAACGGGCTTCCCCCAAACTGTCCAATCAAGAAATAGATAATAGTAGGGAATCCCATGATTGTGACAGTTGTCACAGAAAAGTATATCACAAAATGAGTTTGTGGTAATTGTTTGCAACACTTCGGTAAGGTTGGTTTTACATAATGTCAGCTGGTTGCTTTTTTCAGTGATGTGACAGGAGGGCGTTATTCCAGTACAAAACACAGTATAATTATTTTCTTTCTTGAAAACTGTAGCCTATTTATGAAAATGAATGGGCAACTTTTACCGAGGGCCGCATGCTCCAGAGGCAGATGCGATAACTTTCATGTGCAATAGGTTTTAAAGATGTATTACTTGTGCATTCAAAGACCCAGAGTTAGTATGGCAATAATACCAAGAAATTGAAATTAATTCCATTTTCCATAAATTATTTTTCAAATTTAGCCTCCAATTGGAAAAGAACTTAAGAAGGAAGGCCTTGAAATTCAAGAATCACTTAACAGGCATGTTATCATTCACATCAGAGTTCTTTATGAGAAAAATTGCTTATGCTTCAGTAGGCTAGTAGGCTATGGAATACCTGCAGTGGATCACTTAGTGACCTGTTAAAATGTTGTGTAACATTTAAAATTCAGTTTTGAGGCAGTTCAAGGTGACCTCATTATTCTTATAAGGGTATATTCATGAAGTAGGGATCCATGGTTTGGCAGGTATGGCACTGGCTTTATAACAAGGAGCTCCCATATTTGATCCTGGCACATTGTCTGTGGAAAGATTCTCATGATTTTCCAGCCTGCTTTCCCCTTAATTGTGAGTGATGCGGGATGGAGGGCTTGCAAGGAAAGTCGCTTGGTCGTCAAGATACGATGAAAAACCAAGCTCCATCAGCAGACCAGTTGGTATGCAGGAATAAGCATGAATAAGTTGGAACTTGTCAAGAAATGCCACTGTCTGGCAAAACCTTTATGGCGAGTACAGTTGGTGTAGAATACAGGGACATTAACACAGTTTGATTTCTCATAAGTTAGCTTAAAGTAGCTAAGTCTCTAACTCAATATCATCAAAAATCTTTGACATTAAATACACAAATTATTTGTCAATTCAAATCAACATTGGTCTTGTGATCTTACCGGGAAAAGATGGGCTTCTGATATCCAATATTTAAGATAAAATAAACATTTTACCATTGGTACACGAATCGTGTACCATAATGCGTTTCAGCGCCATTTGGAATAAGGGACTCAAAGAACAGGGCTAAACAAATTCCACAAGTCATGTCAAATGGTGACGCTATATTCTTATCTGGAGAGCATGCGCAATAAATACCATCGGTGTAGACTGGAAAAACCAGACGCTAAAGATTGTCATTGACATGAGACTTCTGGCGTATTTCGCCGAACATAACTGATCAGAAATTACAGTAAAACAGAAACGATTGAATGTAAATCAGTTTAAATACATTCATATTACATTATTGTATTTGTGTCAATTTCTAGGTCCCAAATATTAGTGATTTAGCTCCTTTAAACAATCCCCTTGCATGTTTTGGTTTAGAGAAAGAGATGGGGTTTAACATCCACCCAACACTAATTTCATGCCAATGTTCCACACTTAAACAAAAATAAAATGATAAGGAGGAAGTTTAATGCATATTTTTTTCAATATAATTATATTGAAGTTTTTTTAAATTGAGTTAAAATTTTATCTGTCTTACGTTATCACCAAAATACCAGGTGCCAAAGTTGTTGGTCATTTTTAAAAAAAATAGTTATAATTTAGCAGCCTAAATTTAATTTGCTCTGTTGTAATAAAATAGAGGTAGAAAATGATGATAGTGGCATATTTGTATCATATAAACTAGTAATAAACTGTGCAGTGTATATAATTCCTTTGATGGTAAGCTGAAAATCTTAACAATAAATTATTGTCCCATCTGTCACAGAATACACTGAAAAGTTTCTGTATTAACAGAACTAGGTAATATTTAAAAGTTTAACAATAATAGCTATCTTCTTCTTTATATGGCTGATTCAGAACATATAATTAATTAGATCCAACATGAATCAACAAAGTGAAAATTGTATTTGAAATGTGT